AAGGGATTTTGGATATGACAGCATATCCATAAGCATCCTTCCTTTTTTTTTCTTGTATATGAAAGAGAATTGACTATGTTTGAAATGCATAACATCTGTGTTCATGGACATCTACTTTGGTATCTGCCAGATTCCTTATAAAGCAAACTGATAGATAGCTATGGTTTAAATTGCGCTTCTCCAAAGTGAATGCTAGCAGGCAAATTATGAAGCTCTTCGCCGGAGGGAAAAGGGAGTCAAAAAGAGTAAAATTGTGCTCTGTTGACCCCTGGAAGGTAACAGTAACAGTAACAGAGTTGGAAGGGACTTTGGAGGTCATCTAGTCCAACGCCCTGCTTACGCAGGAAACCTGTACTAGGGATTCGAACTGCCGACCTTGCCAAGGAGACCTCAATGTTGCCCCATGGAAAAGAAGGTCTCTTCACATCCAACTGCAAAGATCCTGTTCATTGTCTTTCCAAAGAGTTCAACCTTGGCCTCTTCTTATTTTTCAGAATGGTTTGCTGGGTGTAGATAACACTTAATTTCCACACCTCAACGTTTTTTACACAAATGTGCTTCCTACAAACATTGTTTAACAACTGCAGCACACATTTTTTCAAGGCCACTAACTTTCCAAATAAGGCATAAAGGAACTAGAATTGAAAGCATAATTTTGAACATATAAAAAACGGTAACCAAATCAGAATAATCCCAAAACCATGTTCATTTTATATGAAATCAAAGTTATTTGGGCGAGAGAATGAAAGTGAAGGGCCAAGTGCATGTAGTTGTCCCTAAAATTAAACACCTTAACCCAAAGGTGGGTTTCAGCAGGTTCTGACCAGTTCTCGAGAACCGGGAGTGGAAATTTTGAATAGTTTGGAGAACCAGCAAATACCACCTCTGACTGGCCCTGCCCCCATCTATTCTCTGTCTCCCAAGTCCCAGGTGATCGGGAAGAAATTTGGATTTTGCAGTAACCTTCCCCTGGGGTGGGGTGGGAATGAAGATTTAACAGCCTTGGTGGCATAGCTAATTAAGCACTGTTACAGTGCACCAGCTGCCTGCAATTACTGCAAGTTAAAATCTCACCAGGCTCAAGGTTGACTCAGCCTTCCATCCTTTCTAAGGTAGGTAAAATGAGGATCCAGTTTGTGGGGGCAATAAGATGACTTTGTATAAATATACAAAAGTATGAAGGCTATTGCTTAACACATTGTAAGCCGCCCTGAGTCTCCGGAGAAGGGCGGCATATAAATAAAAAACAAAAACAAAACAGTACCCTTCCCCTGCCACGCCCACCAAGCCATGCCCACCAAGCCACACCCACAGAACTGGTAGTAAAAAAGTTTGAAACCCACCACTGCCTTAATCCCTTACTTAACTCCCAGGTCCAATAGGGGAAAATCAGGTTTATGAAAGTCCAGCAGGCTGGCATCATCTGTGTCCTGGGGAGATGTAATAATATATGTTTCAGTCCAATATTGTGTATAAAATTACTACAACTACTGACGTATCATGACTTTTTTCCCCTTCGCTAAACCGGGGGTGGGCATAGCCAGCGTGTGATGCATCCGGCCTGTGGGCCGTGAGTATGACATCCCTAATGTAGAGTAAAATTTACTTCCAAGGAACAGATTCGGGCTCAAGGTTGTCAAATATTGCTGAGCAGAAAGTTTTGGAAAATACATTTTGTGACAGTCTTTTCTACTTTTTGGCTACCCACATGCCATGGCTATCTGTCCCATCATCCTCCCAGCATAACATGATTATGTGGGCATGATGGGCTATAGTCAACCATCCCTATAAATTTCAGGTCAGATAAAGTTGCATCAGAGCAAGAATGTTTTTAAGTGAGAAGGAAAAAAATACTTGGGGCAAAATTCTTCCCAACATCCAAAAATCAGATCTGACTGTTGTCTGATTAATAGCCTGTCTGTGAACTGTCTACTTGTGGATTACTGATTTGGTAGATATACTCCTTACGGAAGAACTAGTAGTGGAAACAGATCAGGAGTCTTATCTACATTTAAGTTGCTGAGTTCACTTCAGCATTGATCAACTAATGTTGAATTCTCAGATAAGATTCCTCTTCCCGTAGCCTTGTTCCCTGTCTCTGTATACTTTGGAGAAGAAGTAATCAGTGCTGGAGACTTTGGAGCCACACTGGTAGGACTGAAGAAAGAAACAGAGTCATGCATAATTCTCTCCTAGTCAGATGGACATTTTTAAACTTTGGACTTTTACACTTTGGCTGACACACATTCTTAACTGCAAAATGGGTCATTCTGTCCCATGTTTTAAAGTCTATTATGTCGGCTTTGAAAAGATCTTTTTCCCTTTCTCGTCTACATCATTGTAGGAATCTACAGATAGATTTCTGAGTATTTAGCAATTAAATAGTGGGTTACTGAGTTCCAATGGTTTTATTTTAGCAATAGCATAAGGACAAACTCCAATGTTATATTGCTGAAACAAAAAAACTTTAAGGGAGAGGTGTGTTAGGTCTGGATTTTGGTCTGAAAGGGATGGTGTCGTCAGTTGTGGTCCTGAAAACAATTCCTTGATTCAGAACAGTTTCGTTCTAAGTGCATATCACTTATGTGAAGCATTTGGCGGGGTGGGGGGGCGAGGAGAAAGAAAGAAAGAGAGACTGTGCTTTTTTAAAAAAAAGATCAAGAAGCCCAGAAATGTTCAGATTACAGAAAAGCCAGGTATCACCAGGAACTTCTCCAGAGTCTCCTCCAATGCTTCTTGCCTTTGAACTATGTATCCAGTATTTTTAAACTTTAGCTTTAGTGCTTTCAGCGAGCAGCCTGGCTTGTTCTCCCTGGGATCAAGTTATTCTCATCCGTTTTCTCCAGCAACACAATTGAAAAAAAAAAAATATCAGAACTCTCTGATGCTTTTCATAGGATGCTACCAATCTTTCTCTTTTCTCTCCCAAGCTTCCTTTCTTCTCTTAATCTTCTTTGTATAAAACTCTGGTTCCCGCAACCGATGGAGTTTTCAAGGCATCCATGTGTTTGTCCCCTTGCACTGTGTCTCGCTCTTCATTCCTCCCAGTTTAAAAGCATTCTATTCATGTAGGCACAGCCACAATGCACAGCACTGGTCTCCGACTTCATCTTCATTTGCAAGAATGCTTTGAGCTTCAAAGCACACAGACACACACACGCCTAAAAAAGGAAACAAAATGAAGTTTTGTTAGGCCCACTTGCAAAAAGGAAAAAAAAATGTAAACAGGGGTAATAGTGTTGTTGGAAGAAATACCCAGGTCCAGTTCCAAGCCGGGAGAAAGGCACTGGAAATAAAATGGAGGCTGATTGGAAAGAAAGGTTCCCTTTATTGATGAAGCAGAACCACCAACCACATGTGATTCTGGGCAGCTGACAAATGGGAGTTGAGAGTGGGTGGGTTTTATACCTTCTTTGGCCTTTGTATCTGAGCTTCCTCTTCCTATGCAAGAACATGTCCTTTAATATTCTATTGGCTGCTGTCAGATTCCTATGGGGTCATGGCTGGCTCTATAGGCAAAAGGGGAAATGCAAATCCTAGGTGCTTGTCTGAGCTAATTTTGTCAACCTTTTGTTTGTTGCTTATCCGAGTTTCTGTCTTGACCCAGTGTTGGAAGAAATGTCCAGCTGGGTTCAGTTCCAAATGGGAAGAAAGACACTGGAAACATGGAGACTGCTTGGAAAGATGGTTTAATGGTGGACAGGACCACATGGTTTGAGGTCCTGGGCAAAAAGAGCACATGGGTGAGAGAGGGAGAGAGATTTATACCCTCTCTTGGGCCCCAGCTTGGAGCTTCCTGTTCCTGTCTAAGAAATGTACTCTGATTGGTTGTCAGACTCCCATGGGGCCATGCAGGGATAATTTTGTAGGTTGTCTTGAGTCCCAGGCCTGGTTGAAACTTGCTGGGTGATGATGGGGCTTTGGGCAATTCCTATTATGGCTTAATGGCTTTGTCCTGGTATGGATCTTGAGTGAGGGCTAATCCTATCATGTCCTGAAGGCCATGTCTTTTGTTTTGTAGATAAACTGGCCCAGCCTTTGTCTTGTAGATAGGTTGGCACCAAAATATCTGCTGTTGGGGCGGGGGGCAGGGAGCTGAAGCTCTGAGTTTATGTCTTTAGAAACATGTTTCTCCTTTAAGGAAAATATAACATGCTCCCTTTTTAATATTTCCTAGAATATTTCATTTTTCTAGGAGAGGGGTGGGTGCTAACTTCCTACACCAGTCTTTCTGAGTGGATTACCAAATCTGCATTTTTAAAAGCTGGCCTCCTCAGTTTCTGCTTGGGACAGGAAAACTGGGGCTGGTTTCTGCCTCCCTTAAGTTTTTTTTTTAATTTCTCCTTTAGGGTAAATATTTTATCCTGCTTTTTTAATATTTCCCAAAATATTTCATTCGGGTGGGGGGGGCTTCCTACAGTGTCATATAAAAGGGAATGTTGCAATAGATAACATTCTGGCAAATCGGTGCTTTGTAACTCCTAATATCTCTCACATTAACCATTTTGTGAAAGGGCAAACCCCTCTCCACATTTTAGAAGCCCCCAACAATCTCTACAAATTGCATGTGGGTTCACCAATCCCCTAATGGTTAGGGACCATTATATAGGTAAAAAGGTTTTTGTAGGAGGAGAAGTGTTAGAACCTGGGGGAAGAGATAAAGGAGGGGTCAGCCTGGAATCCCTACATAGCCACAAGCAGACTCCACCCCTAATTTTTGTCACTCCTTCTCCTACAGTTTTGTTGTACTGTTGTTTGATGAAAGGGGAAGAGACATGTGAAACAAATAGTCAGTTAAAGTTGAACTCATTTAATTCCCACCACTTTCAAGCAAAAGTTTTAAATACAAACTTTCTCTTGAAGGCATTGGGGCTTTAAAAAAAAAAAAAAATCCCTAACCTTAGCTGGATTGTTCTGTAACAGGCATTAGAGTTGCCTGTTACTACAGGCAACTCTAATGCCTACAGTAACAGACATATCTCAGCATCCTCATTATGGAATCATATTACTCTTGTTTCTTGTTAGCCAGTTGACACCCAAGTGTTTTTAATGAACCTCTGCAATTAACAGCCCATTAGGATGAATAAGCAAAGTTGGCACATCACTTAGTGACATTTCAGCTTTCCTGATGAGAAGATTCACCAAGCCAGTAAGGCATTTATTCACATTTGGAGGGTTAACATGAAACTTAGAAATCTCTTTTGGTGATGTGAAAACTAAATGTAGGAGATGTTTCTATTATTGCAAACTTATTCTTTCTCAATCATTGTCCAGGTATATGGCTGGTTTGGAAACTAAACAGGTTCATCTTTGCTTAGTATTTGACGTGGTTTTATCTGAGAAGCTCAAGACTGTCGGTTAATTTGGAAAATTGAAACAGTACTCTGGAAGAAGGCAATGAGAAATCACATCATGCCAAGAAAACTGCTTTGATATAGATATAGATACACATATATATTTACTTTGAAAAAACAAGCAGTTTAGGACTAGTGGGCAAGAAGTACATTTTAGTCAGGAAATCCCATAACATGTTTATCTAGATAAACTATGGTTTATATAGTTGAACTGTATAAACTATGGTTTGCAAATATAAAAACTGGATTCATGCAACAACAGATCACATGTTGTTCTCTGAGGCATGTATAGATTGTGAAATCCAGATATAGCAATTGACCACACTTGACAGCTGATACTTAACTTTGAGGACTGGATCAGTGATGAAATCCAATTTTTTTTACTACCAATTCTGTGAGTGTGGCTTGGTGGGCCTGGTGTGGCTTGGTGGGCATGGCTTGGTGGATGTGGCAAGGGAAGGATACTACAAAATCTCCATTCCCACCGCACTCCAGGGGAAGGATACTGCAAAATCCCCATTCCCACTCCACTCTGGGGCCAGCCAGAGGTGGTATTTGCGCGGTTCTCCAAACTACTCAAAATTTCCACTACCGGTTCTCCAGAACCTGTCAGAACCTGCTGGATTTCACCCCTGGACTGGGCATCCTCTTCCATCACTCTTGAGGACAACAAACCAGTCTAAAGGGCCAAAAGAAAATCATATCACATACTGCTTAATGCATCTCTATCTGATCATTATTTGCTGCTTTCTGTCATCTTTGCCCTTGTGTCCCCATGTTTAGAAAGGATTTTTCTTTGTGATTTTTTCTTACATATCTGAACTAGTGAATGTCATAAGAGAGGAGGACATAGGCACTCTCCAAAATACTTGGTTCCTTCAAGTTGAATCCGAAGTTAATCCAAACACTTGAAATAAACCCAATGCTTGGATAGAGAAGGCTACCAGATCTAGGCTGCAAAAATCCAGATGGCAGATGACACAGAAAATTCTTCATAGTTTTCGGCTTTCCTGGTGGTTCAGATTCCTTTTTCAACATCTGCTTAAATGTACAGATCACAATCAATGGCACTGAGTTATATTAATTGCTATTTCAGGTGTCCCATGCCTTTCCCAGACATATATGACAAATACAGAAGAGCTAAAACATAGTTTTTAAATGGTTAAAACCTAATTTGAGGTGGCACAGTGGTTAGAATGCAATAATTGCAGCCTACTTCTGCCCACAGCCTGAAGTTTGACGGGACTAAAGGTTGACTCAGCCTTCCATCCTTCTGAGGTCGGTAAAATGAGGACCCAGATTGTTGGAGCCAATATGCTGACTTTATAAACCGCTTAGAGAGGGCTGTAAAGCACCATGAAGTGGTATAAAGATCTAAGTGCTATTGCTAAAATTTAAACATTTTAAATGGCTTTTAAACATAAGCAGAAATAGCAAGGGCAGCCAATTTAGAAATCCTGGCTGAAGAGAAATGTACTGTAGTATCATATTATAAATAAGATAGCCGTCCTTATTTATGCTCGTTTAGTAGTAATCTTTACATCTGAGTAGATGTTATAAATGTACACAATTAGAGTAGTAAGTACATATCTCAAGAAGCGAGATCATGTCTTGTATCCACATCCTGTTGCGTGTTGGTAGAGCAAAGAGGGAGAAATCTTTCTTGCCTCACTTAATTAACCTATGAAGACTGGGGCACACTTTAGTTTAGTATGCCATCATAGACTTGTTTCTGCAAGCACAGATCTGTCACAATGCAATGTCATGGAATTATCAGTTCCAATCCACCAATTCCTCGTAGATGCAGAGATTTCAGAGGGTGTTTTGAGCTCTTCTGCCACTGACTGCAGATTTCTGCTCTAAGGTCTGAAGCAGCCCACAGGACCCGTTTCATCTTATGACAAGAATTCAGTTCATTTCAATTTAGCTTAATTTTTTCCTCTACCAATTAAGCAAAGGCCTTTCTTCTCTTTGTCTGCATCTGTGTGGATCTGAGAACATTAGTATTTAGAATTCTATATTCTTCATAGAATTCTTTATTGGCCAAGTGTGATTGGACACACAAGGAATTTGTCTTCGGTGCATAAGCTCTCAGTGTACCTAAAAATGCATTCATCAAGAATCATATGATACAACTCTTAGTGATAGTCATAAGATACTAAATAAGGAATCAAAATCATACTAGGAAACAAAATAAAAGAATATAATCGTAAAGATACAAGCAACAAGGTTATAATTTATTTATTTATTTATTGGTTCAATTTATATGCCGCCCTTCTCCGGAGACTCAGGATGGCTTACAATGCGTTAAGCAATAGCCTTCATACTTTTGTATATACCTGCTTAGTAGGGCTTTTGGCCCCCCCAAGCGGTGTTCTTTTTTATACAAAGTCAGCTTATTGTCCCCACAATCCGGGTCCTCATTTTTACCTACCTCGGAAGGATGGAAGGCTGAGTCAACCTTGAGCCTGGTGAGATTTGAACTGGCAGTAATTGCAGGCAGCTGGCAGCTAAGTGCTACTTAACAGCATTTTAGTCCACTGCGCTACCAAGGCTAGTTGTTAAGGAATAACCCTTGAGTAGCAAGGGTGTGCACATGAAAGCGATTGAGAGTAGTTATGAATAAGCACAGTCACCAGACAAATACACTGAGTCGTGTTATAGTTTACATTCAGGAAAAATAAAGCACAGTATAAACAAATAAACAAAGTCTTCATACCAGTCGTATTAATCATACACAGTAAACAGTTTCAATATACTGCAAACATACATTGATGGTTTATATATTGCCAACCCAACAGGTTAGGCACTCATCATATTCCTAACAATAGTCATAAGTAGAAGGAGATAGGTAATAGGAAGGATGAGAAGAATGATAGTAATACAGCCTTAGTAAATAGCTTGACAGTGTTGTAGGAATTAGTTGTTTAGCAGAGTGATGGCATGTGGGGAAAAAACCTGTCCTTGTGTCTAGTTGTTCTGGTGTGCAATGCGCTATAATGTCGTTTTGAGGATAGAAGTTGAAACAAGTGATATCTAGGATGTGAGGCGTCTGTAGATATTTTCACAGTCCTCTTTACTGACCGGTATTGACAGGGGATGTAACAAAAAAAATTACTCATGGCAGCATTGGTCTCCACAGCTAGCCATGATGATGCAAAACTACAAGGCTTTTGCTGTGATGTCACAACAAAAACTCCACCTTTCCATTTGTACCCTGATGTTAGAGGGAACTCATGAGATTTGCATCATGATACATTATATCACTTCTCTCCCAACACTTTGCAGTGTTAGGCTTCCAAGTGGGGATTAGACTTTTCACCAGGTTGGGTCAAGGACAATTCACCACAGCCAACTCGCCATGGCCAACTCGCTGCAGGACAACTCATTGCAGGACAAGTGTTACACTAATACCTAAGAAATAGTGGAATAGAATAATTAAAAGTAGATGCCAAAGGAGGGACAAAATAAAATGTGAATGACAATTTTTTAAAAAAATAAATAAATTATTTTAAATGATTAAATTGAATCCTTGAATTGACCTGTGGTGAGTTATTCCATAGCGAATTGGCCATGATGAGTAGTCCCCCGGCGAGTTGGCTGAGGAGAGTTGGCTGCAGAGAGTTGGCCATATGACGATATGACGTCACCGAACCAGTTCTCTTTGTTCGGGAGCTGGGCCCTCTTGCCCCCCCCCGCATTATTCTTACCTTTTATTTGGCCCCAACCCCAATCTATTGCTGCCTCCTGAGTCCCAGCTGATCGGCAAAAAGAAAAAAAAACTGTTTAAACTCTTGCCGCGGGGCTTCAAAGAGCCGCCCTACAGCTGATCAGTGTTAAAAGGCAGTGCAGTGGTAGACCAGTGCCTCCAAAAACAAATGAGTAGACCGGTACAGCTCTGCAAGAAGTTAAAAGCCTGGTAAACCAGTACCTCTGCTAAATCCTAAAGAATTGTCACATGACCATCAAGCCACGCCCACAAAATAAGCCAGGCCCATAGAACCAGTAGTAAAAATTTTTACTACCCTGCTATGGATGCCTCTGTTGTGCCCCCTGCCTCCCCTGATTGGTTCCAAAACGCAAGAAGTAACCTGGAACCAGCCACCCTGCTCTCTGTTTCTTTGTCTCTTTGGTAAACTGTCAAGATGTGATTTAACAGATTAACAGACTTAGAAGGGACCTTGTAGGTCATCTAGTCCAACCCCCTGCCCAAGCAGGGAGACTAAATGGCTGTCTAGGATAACCCTCATGGCTATCTAAATGGAGGATCAAAAATACGACTTCTTGACTTACAACCTTTCATTTAGTTACCATTCGAAGTTATAACAGCAATAAAAAAAAGTGACTTATTAACATTTTTCACACTTACAACCTTTGCTGCATCCCCATGGTCACATAATCAAAATTTAGACAGTTGGCAATTGTCTCATATTTACGACGATTGCAGTGTCCCAGGGTCATGTGATCACCTTTTGCGACTTCCGACAAGCAAAGTCAATGGGGAAGCCGGGTTCACTTAACAACAATGTTACTAACTTAACAATTGCAGCAGTTCACTTAACAACTGTGGCAAAAAAAAGATCGTAAAATGGAGCAGAAATTCACTTAAGAAACGTTTCCCTTAGCAACAGAAATGTAGGTCTCAGTTGTGATTGTAAGTCAAGGACTAGCTGTAGAACTACATTTTGATGGGAACAGAGACAGTCTGGGAGCTCTGCTCTCCGATTTCTCAAGCGTCAATTGTAGTGTGTGTTTGTGTTTGTGTATGTGTGTGTGCTGCCAAAGCCTTACGTGG